TAGTGTTGTCCAATAAACGTCATCTTTTAATATTTTCTTTCTTATTATTATGGAGTGACCTCAATATAGATGATATTCACATTTATGCTTCAGATTATATTATTTAAAAATTCGAAGATAAGTCCACATTCACACAAATCTCTTTGATGTCTTTACAAAAACCTTCAGGGTATTGAATAGTATGCGTTGTATCTGCCGCAAATATTTGTGTGCATCTTTATGTGGTGCCTAGTACACATTTACATAAATTTTAACACACATGAATAAATTTGTGTGAAATACAATACACAACGAAAAAATGTATTAATGTGGACCTGGCTTTATACAGCCTATGCAATAAAGTTGGATCCATATGAGAATTTTATTTTATTATTACGATATGCATATATAGAAATTATTAATTTTGTATTAGAAAATAAGAAACATAAATTAAAAATCATACAAATTAATGTTGGAATTGATAAATTTACTTATTTAACTTTCTAAAAATAATAGAAATTTTCACAATAGTAATGACTGTAATGAGGAGAAATAATATTTGTATTTGTTACAGGATCCACTTGGATTTGAAGTTGATTGTATGGAAGAGCAAGGTGATGGAATTGCTTCACAGACTGATTTAACAATGGAAACGTTGGCTATACAGTTTGAACAGTTGAGTTTTGCCAGCAAAAAATTTTCAAATTTAGAGGAAAAAATAGAAAATACCCCCTTTGGACTTGTGGATAATACTAATAATATTAGCAAATGGAAGTATTATATAGGTTTTCAGTTCAAGTTTGTTGAAATTATTTTTTTGGAAATGAAGGACCTCATTAGCACAACATCAACAACAGTCCTTAGCCCTTTCAACCAACTTTTACTTACCCTAAATAAATTGAGACTAAACCTGCATTTCAAAAATTTGGCCTACCAGTTTCATATTTCGCCTACAACGGCATCTACATATTTTGAAAATATAATTAATATTCTGTACGCGAATTTTAAATGTTTTGTTGTTTGGCCTGAGCGCTCTGTATGTAAAAGAAACATTCCATCGTGTTTTAAAGAGGCATTTCAGGAAAATACCACAGTAATTGTAGACTGTTTTGAAATTTTTATTGAAAATCCTGAAAAGTATATAACACAGCAGCAGTGCTGGTCAAATTACAAACACCACCATACGTTAAAATTTTTAATTGGGATAACTCCACAGGGCTCAATAAGTTTCATAAGTAAAACTTGGGGAGGGCGATCTTCAGACAAACAAATTTTGTGAAACTTTGGGTATTTTGAGGGCAAAATTGGTAATGCCTGCATTTACTAGAAAACAAAATTAGCTACATCCTTTGGATATTGAAGCAACACGAAATATAGCTCATGTCAGGATTCATGTTGAACGAGTTATTGGCTGTATAAAAAATAAATTTGGGTTCTTTAAAGGACCAATCCCAATAAGTATGTTAAAAAAGGGCAATACTTCAGAGAATACTCATAATTTATTAGATAAAGTAGTAACGGTTTGTTGTGCCTTAATAAATCTAAATCCTCTTTTAGTGCCACTTTGAAGTTTTTTTTTCCTATAATAAAAATTGTACAAAGTTCATTTTATGTAAATTGTTTAGTTTAGAGTGTACATATATGTTTTACATGTTACAACATTGTTTAGTAAAAATCTTTTAAATTTAAAATTTTCCATTGTTTTTTTATATTTTTTATATTCATAATTATGACATGTTTTATTGTTACTATGTATTTGTGTTTTTAGTTTTGTCAGAAATACATGTTATATATAATATAGTAGCCATTATTTTAAAATTCTAGGATTATAGCTTGTTATATTTTTTTGTATTTATAATTAATTTTTGTACTAATATTGTTTTCTTGATTAATAAAACAAACCAAGATTGTCAATCTTATAGAGAAAATAAAATATGTTTACTATTATTTTTTTATTAATATAATAATTCAAGAAAACCCCACCCACATAATTGAAACGGTGACGCATGACGATGTATATCTGGATATCATAACAGAAATTAAACATCTACTAATATAGCTAATATAGTTTATTTGACATAATTCAGTTTGTATTTACAATTTAAATAACAGTTTAATGAGAAATGTACATAAGTAGTCCACAAAGCCTAAATGACTTCTGTTTTCAATATTTTGGTGGACTATTTTCAGCATAGGGCTGATAAATTTATTATTTTAATTATACTTCATTTACATGTTTTAAATTTTTTGTATGAAAAAGTTCATAGTTACAATCACGAATACACTGATATATATATTTATCAAATATTTACTTAATTAAACATTTATTTTAAAGGTATATCTTACAAACACCATAACCGTGACTTGTTAGTAGTATTAGCAGCGTTTTCAGGAATATCAGGAGTTCGTTGACATTCATGTCATCTAATGAACTCATTTTATTCTTTAAATAAATAATTACATATTAATAATAACTACAAAAATGACGATTTTTCTATTTCTGAAATCTCAAAACTATGTATCGTAATCATAGCGATCACCTAGATAGATAGTTTCATAAATTAAACTGTTATGTAATATTTATAATTATTTAACAATTTTGGGATTTCATTACATAACAATATATGTAATGATGTATTTACTTATAATGATACATAATAGACGATTTACTGTGGTGGTTGTAGATAAAGGTAATTACATGGGAGTATGGCTAATAAAACTAAAAAGAAAATGACAATTTGCTCAAAGGAGTTTGCATTGATTGCAAAACCAAGTTGTGTCCAATAGATCAACACATTTAAAATGAAACCATTCAGTCTGACACTCATCATTTTCACATTTAATCATTGGTGATCCATCGTCAACTCTCTTACACTTACACCAGTAGGTAATTTTTGCAGTACCTTCCCTTTTTGTAAAATATCTGACCAATAGTTCTGGCATAATTATCTCAGAATGAAATTTTAATAAAATTGGGTAGTTTTCTTTCCAGAAATCGAAATCGGGTAGAATACGTTCTCTAAAAAATATTTTGGGAGACCAAATTATAAAATCCCCATACAATAAATTGGATACAAATATTTGCATTTGCACCTGGTAATAATAAACATGTTTTTTGTCCAATGTGATAGTATCATTTCTTAAAATTAAGCAGCAGTTTTTCATTTTCAAATAATCTTGTATATTTGAAATGTTATTTACATGTAACAAATAGGGACATTTAATTTCTACACAGCCACCTCTGCAACATTCACAATATACCATTCTGTTTGGAGATGCCCCTAGTTGTGGCCATTTTTCATTCACTAGTAGGCCCACTTCATTCATTGTAAAAGATTCATGATTTTCTCTCATAAAATCCTTATATTTTTTAACAGCTACATGTTCATGTTCTAATCCCCAATTTGTGGCTTTAGTACTAAACAATACCTTTGTTGGATAACAAATACCTTTTATAAGAGATAGAGATGGGTTTTGTTTATTTGTTCTACATACGGCTTTACATTTAGACGCAGTTATTCTACCTGCTCTCTGTTTATACCAATTTTCGTTCGTATGTTGACTTCTAGTCTTTAGTTCTATCTTTATTAATTGATCTTTAGTTAAAATTAATGAAATCGTGTTTGATATTTTCATCAAGTCTTCATATGTTTTGACCTCATACTGTATATTGTATACTTGAAAAATGCTTGGGAGTATTTCGTTTGCAGCAGATTCTATTTTACTGGCAAAAGGTTCAACAAATCTCATCAGAACACTTCCTCCAATGGTTTCTAATTTAGAAAGAAAATATCAACAACTTCTGTCTGCGTCATTGCTGTAATTTCTGTTGTTTTATGTGCCCCAGAAGTAAATGTACCAAAATCCATTTCAGTTGTAGGTCCAATAGGTACCGTTGTAGATAATAATGGCATAGGCCACAACGCACCTACATCAGTTCATGAAAAATCATCTTTTTTGAGATTGGCATACTCAGCTGTAAATAAAATAGCAGCAATATGGCTACAAACTTCACTATTGCCAGCCATGCACGTACAGTGAGCAGTAGTCACTGCCCCATCCTTGGTTAAAATGCACCACACATCAAGAGGTTTCACATTTGCCCTCTGGGAATGTTTTACCTGAAAACAAAATTTTTTACAGAATATAATTAAGATACTATCCTACATATTTTTCTCCTTCAACTAATTACTAATAAAAGTTTCCAAATTGTATTTTCAGAGCAACTTGATTTCTGTAATTTACATAAAATGTAAAATAAATGTGTAGTACCTACTAAATTAACTAAATGTATCTCTAATATAGGTGGCTTTTGTTACCAAGACAATAAACAGCTCTCAACTTAAATAAATAGAATAAACTTACCTTTCCAACCAGCACGTAAAAGTTATTTATAAGGGTCGTTCCAGCTTTAAGGACAAAACCAGATGAAACATATTTGTAGGCTTGAAGACTTTTGAAGGCTCTCATCTGCTCATTGGAATAATAACTATGTGTTAATAATAAATATGTTATAATGTCCATATTTGTAACTGGTGGAATCCCATTAACTGTGTAATCTAAATCAAGGGATTGAAGCGTAAATGGATCTATGCCTTGAATAGATTGAACTTTCATCAAATACCTGCAAAAATATTACGTTTTTAAACCTTAATCTACTAATTTATCTTCCAGAAGTACAAAATAAAAACAATGAGTTATAACCTACCTTTCACCAACATCTCTGTTTTCCAACAATAACCTCCTTAAATAGTCACTCTGCATAGTAACGAAATTAAAGTCTTAATAAATTAACTAAAAAACACTATAAAGTTAAAATACTTTTAAAAACCACTAAAAAACAACGCCCAAATGCAAATATCTAACAACAGCAAACAAACGCACAAATTGATTGTCTGCCTGCCAGACGCCATATTGGGTCACGTGGTTTGGATTGCCTAATACACCATCAAGATTAAGTTCTAACCTATCAACATTTCTTCTTTTTTATAAAAGTTTGACGTATGTCTGTTCACAGGCTCATGAATACCAACATTAAACAAATTAATATGCATCTTAGCAACCACAAGTCAGTAGGTTGTGGTAAATTATTCGCATGCCTAATATAAAAATTATGAGGAAAATTTTTGGACGTTGCACAGAGAAATTATTTTGCAAAAATTTTTCTATAGTAAATTTATGCAAAAATTTACTTAAAAATGTTTGCACTAATTTAGTACCGTGTCATACAGGCTTTATACGATTTTAGAAAATTTATTGGAAGTATTTTAGTTCACTGTAATATTTTATAAAATAAAAAATAAGGACAATATAGAAGTACAAATATTAAGTAACAGTACCAGGTCTTCAACAATACCCGAAACCCACGTGATCAAATCGTCATGACAGCGATTGGTGAAAATAATAGTAAAAATCCCTAGATGTGGGCCAGTGCTCTAGGTGTTTTAAATAAAATATAGCTTCTTCTTTTTTTTATGGTCTGTAACCATAAGAACAAAATACAGTGAGATACTTTGAGATATAACAAAAAAAATCATATTATTAATTAATGGTGCTTTACATTATGTTACGGGTATATTAAAACGCACAACACCCGAATAAATCACTTTTATTAATTAAAAATAAATACAACGCCAATCGCCAAAAATTATAAATTGAATTTAACACACGCCTACTGTGGAACTCGAATAGATACAAACTGCCACACCGCCGTCTCGCCCTCTTCGCTGGTACTGTAGTTCGCGCCTAGCTCCGATACCTGCGCCCTCTCACGCCGCTTCGATGCGTTGGGAACTTGGAGTCCCGACAGTGGCGCAACATTCGGCCATCCTGAAAAATTAAATGTCCCCATTAATTACATACACAATACTAATTGTCTTAGTCGATATCACTTTCATCAATCTGCCCCTGGCACTCCTCATCTTTATCAGACTCATACTCAACCTCATTCATTCCGTGATACCGTCTAAGAGAGTCTACATCGACAACCACTTGGAAGCGCTTGTAGCCTCGAACGCCCTCTATCGCCTCAATTCGATATCGATCATGTCCTAATACCTTACCTACTCTATACGGACCATCTAATTTATTTGCCAATTTACTACTAACACCTGCGCCCGCCCTTTTTGTAGCTGAATTTCTCCAAAGCACCAAATCTCCAATTTCATAAATGGTTGCAACCTTTCTACCTTTATCAAAATGCTTTTTCATTTTACGTGCAGATTTTGTGATATTAGCCAAAGCCCTAGTGTGATCGGAATGAACTCTCTCCCCGTCTTAAAAGACCGGGCATGGGCCAGATACCACAGCCTTCTCTAGGTTTGGGAGCCCATCACTAACCGCACCTGCCTTGACTAATGGGTCCTGAAGTTTTACCCTTTTTCGATCAATGGGAGATGAAACATTTCTAGTCATAGCCCTTTTGTTGAGTAACCTTGAGCTTCGTCTCCTTCGCCCACCTTGCTCATCTCGCCCGCCTCGCCCTCCGCGCCTAGAAACTTGGAGACCAAAGTTGTCACCCTGATCCACCAAGCGGGTGTCGATATTACCTAATACCCTGTCGGGCTCACCAATCTCCTCAACCTCCTTCGCCTCGACATCGCTCCTTTGTACTGCACGCTCGACACCCTAAACATCCACCATGTTCTTGAGACTCCCACCAGCCCCGTTATTATCATCGTCGCTAGCTAGCTCGCCATCCGCCAAATCGGTTACTCGGCCATGACTATGGGAAAACATTGAGTGTGCAGGAGAAAAACGTGTCCCAGCATTGATCATATGATTGAGTCCCCACACAACATCCGACAATTTCTCGTCCCACCGACCTTCAGCTTCTACAGTCGAAGATAAGACTTCTACAATCGTCCTGTTGGGTCTCTCCACTTGTCCGTTCGCCCTAGGCGTTGCCACCGCATTCAACACGTGCTTTACACCCCTATCCACCAAAAACTCCTTAAACTCCTTACTAGTAAACGCCTTGCCTCGATCCGATATGATTCGCCTTGGATAAACAAACTCACCGAAAACCTCCTTTAAACGTGAAATAGTTTCAGACGACTTAACAGATTTTGTAGGCTTCGCTATAAGAAATTTAGTAAATCCATCCACCACCATTAAAATGTACGAGTTACCTTTAATGCTTTTCACAAATGGGCCCAAATGGTCAACATGTATTGTATCAAATGGTACTGGTCGACGCTCAATTGGATGTAACAACCCTTCGACTAAACCGTACTGACCTTGTGCAAATCCACACCTCAAACATGACTTGACGTACTTAGACACAAAACGTCGCATCTTAGGAAACCAATACGTATCTGATATTAAAATTAGACACCTTTCAAGGGCCGGGTGACCTATGTCATCATGATGCTTTCTAAGAATACTGAATCTAGCCATAGCTGGTACATACAACCTATCTCCATGTGAAGTTATACGATAAAGTCGCCCATGTTTCACCTTATAAAGCGCCTTGGTCTGTTTGTCCACGTTTTCTGATGCCAGTAGTCTCACAATTTCTTGCGCCTTAGGATCCTGCAGCTGCACCGTTAAAAACCAATCATTCTCCGACATTGTAACAATATTTACGCAGACTTTATCAACAGGTGGGTTCCTACTTAAAGCATCAACATGCTGCATACGGTTACCAGGTCGATATTCTATCTCCATGTCATACTCCTGAATCGCCAACCACCACCGAGCTATTCTAGGAACCAAGTCTCTCTTAAGTAACGCCGCTCTCACCGCTACACAGTCAGTCACCACTTTAAAACGTTTTCCAACTAGATAAACCCTAAAACGCTTAACAGATTCAACTACGGCCAACGTTTCGAGCTCATAACTGTGATACACCTGCTCCTGCACCGTGGTAGCCCTACTAAAATATTCAACAGGCCTCAATTTGTCATCTGCCCCTTTTTGTAAGAGAATACCTGACAATCCCAGCTTGCTAGCATCAGTATGCAGTTCTGTATTCGCCTGATTGTCGTACAATGCTAACACAGGTCTATTCGCCAGATAATCCTTGAATAAATCAAAAGCCTCCTGTTGCTCGCTGCTCCAACTCCAAGATACATCCTTCTTAGTAAGAATAGTCAATGGTTTCGCCAACACCGCAAAGTTTCTAATGAATTTCCTAAAATAAGAAGCTAAACCAATGAACTGTCTAACACCATGCACATTTTTAGGTATTGGAAATTCTTGTACGGCTTGTATTTTACGCCTTCCAGGACGAATACCTTCTCCAGTCACCTCGTGTCCTAAATATTCAAGAGTATTTTGCAAGAAGGAACATTTCTCCAGTTTGAGCTTAACACCTGCTTGTTCAATCAACCCTAAAACCATTTCTAGCATCGCTAAACCCTCTTCTTCGCCTGCAGCTGGTATCAAAAGATCATCGATGTAAGCTAACACCTCGCCATATCTCAGTTTACCTAACATCTTATCAATGATGCGCTGAAACACCGCTGGTGAATTAGAAAGACCAAATGGAACTCGCAAATACTCATAATGGTGTGATAAACGCTGTTTTATCCACCGAATCTGGATTCATTGGCACCTGATGAAACCCCTGAGCTAAATCTAAAATGGTAAAGAGAGTTTTATTCGCCAATTTAGTAAGCTGATCCGAAATCAAAGGTAGTGGGTAACGGTCCTTAACAGTGACAGCATTTAAAGCCCTATAATCAACACACATCCTTATCTCACCAGACTTTTTCGGTATCAATACAATAGGACTAGCATAAGCAGATTCACTTTCTCGTATCACACCCGCCTCCAAAAGAGTCTCCACCTTCTGCCTGACCAGCTCTCGTTCATGATGAGACAACCTATAAGGCCTATAATATACTGGTACGTCAGTAGTTAATTTTATTTGCATGCTTCCTAAGTTAGTTAACCCAATATCATCCTCACCTGTGGAAAAACACATAGATTTACGCTTTAATAAGGAACATAGACGTTTTCTACATGTCGCCGATATATCTACTACATTTAAACCTGAAATGTCTAAGCTACTATTATTAGATAAGGAAAACTTTCTCACTTGTGACTCCGACGCTCCTGTTACATCATCGCTCGGCTAGCACGCCTCCACTCGTGCGATGAGTCGTCCTTTCCTCCATTTAATCTCGCCGTCGCCGTCATTAACCACCTTCACCTCCTCCAGACAGGTTCTCAACAGCCCCGATGGAATAAGGACATTGGAAGCTTTATGTATGGGGGAAGTACTTCTTTTCCATGAAATATATTGTGCCTGGAACGCCATTTATCACCCTCACCTTAATCCTGCTGACAGTATTGGGCTGCAATACGACATCTTCCGCCAGTAGCGCCTTCGGTTTGGTAGACTCGCCATCCAAGGAGATCTCCTTCATCAACTCGTTGATGTCCGGGTCCCTCCTCAGATAGGACTTCCCATTCCTCATCACCATGGTGATTCCTGGGCCATTGATGGTTGGCTGGCCCAGAAGCAGCTGGATGTGGCCCATCTCGTCGTCAGTTACCAACGCCTTCACGGTGTGCACCTCGTCAACAAGGGTCATCTGGAATGACACTTCTCCCAGAGAGGTTGCTGCTCCGCCGCCGAATCCACAGAGTTGGACATCGCCTTCGTCTATGTCTAGATCAAGCCATCTTACCGTAGAGAGGGAGATAAGGTTCTGCTCACTCCCAGTGTCTTAGTAGGCCTTGACATCTTGGCCTTTCACCTTCACCAGATGCCTAAAACAACTATCAGAGGGAGTGATAATTAATCTTACCTGCCTCCCAGAGGGAGCATGACTCCTGTCGCCGCTGGTGGTCGCCGCCCTGCACTCCGGAAGCCGATGTCCTGCTTTGCCACAGCCCCTGCAAATGATGGATGGTGGACGGGGACAGTCTCTGCTCAGATGGGTCGTAAATTTCTGGCAGTTGTAGCAGCGCTTCAGGAAGGGCTCCTCCACCCGTTGGACAGCCGGTTCGGACCTCCTCGCCTTGTGATCCTCCCTGTAGCTCTCCAGGCCTGCCAAAAATTTATTGTAGAGCTTGTCCGGAGTGTCGCAGTTGGCCGCCTGTGCATTGGCTCTCAGG